CTAAATATTGAATGTTGTGGTGCAGCACCCAGGACCGACAGCGCACAATGTGCTTTGAGGTAGCAGCCAAGAAAGGTGTAGTTTATGTCTATGGACAGTGAACATCTGTGTGCACACCTGTGTGAATCAGCGCGCTTGTATTCAAAAGGTTTCCCCATTGCAGGTTATTGTTAAATTTTCCACAACACTTGCAAATCTATCAGTCACACACATTTATACTCAGATGAATGCATCAGAGAGCAACTTGGGGTTAGTATCTTGCCAAAGGATATTTAACATACAGCCTGGAGCAGCCAGGGAACAAACTGTCTGATCAGTAGATGACCTGCTCTACCTCCTTAGTTACAGCCACTCCATGAGCTTGAGCTCAATTAATTTTAGTATTCATGACTCATTTACTTTACTTGTCATGTTCAACCAGAAAAATGCTAACAATAATGAAAGATTTATCACTCAGTGACATACACTGACACCCAAAGGGTACATGTGGTCCATAACTGTAGACCTGTAGGTGACCATAGCGTACACTACTATTTTCTGTCTGGAACTGATCCTCACTGAGGATGGATCAGTGTTCCTCGAAATAAATAAACTTTAACACGTTATTTAATCTCGGATTCTTGCAAAATGTTCGACGAGGACCAATTGAAAACCAAAATACAAGAGAGTTGAGACAGTAAGCGCACGGAAATAACCGTTAATCGAAGCAACGTTGCCCTCTAGTGGTTAAATATATTTACTGCGGGGGCTGTAAACACGGAAGTTCCTGTTTCCGTCCATTTCCTATACAAGATGCTCGTGCGTTTTGTCCCCTTTTATTGTGATGGTGGTGTAACACAGTCAGTAGTTTAAAAATGTGCACCAGAAGTGTTTGATAAAGAAAAAATAGGCGGTATGTTTTCATAACTCACAGCTGGAATATAAGCATGAGCTGCAGACATGACAGGATACCCTGAATTTTAAGCGTCTTTATCAGGTCTTAGACTCAGAGTTACAGCCACAGCTGTAAGTGAAATGACCTAAACTGACACCTCAGCTTAGTGAACCTTTCCTTCGTTTTCTCCCAGCATGCAATTCCCCCCTTTCTGTGTTTCACTTTCATTTTTCAATGATTTCTGCTGAAGCTGCGTGCAGGAGACGAAGCGGTAAGTTAGCAATTTTTTACATATAGCTCACATAATTTATAAAATAATGAGAATATAAGATGAGATGCTTTATGGCTTCTGAAAATCTGAGTCATTTTGATTGTAATGCATGATTATACAACGAAACCATTTGTGTGAAATCGAAAGTAATGCTTTTCCCGGTCCTTTGTCATGTGTTATAAAGTACCATGAGAAGCAGTAGTTTGTTTAACAGTCCAGCTATCCTGAGATGTTCGGTGTTTGCTGTGTGACACTACAAGTAAGCGGAGAGATATTGCATTTAGTTTTCTGTGTTTGTATTTCAGGTCCCGCCTCTGTTGTCACCATGTTAGTGGCTCCTCTCCTGCTGGTGCTGTTCGTTCCCTTTTCTCCCTCATCTGGAGCACAGTTACCAAATCAAGCCAAGGCCAAAGACCTCCCTATTGCCACCAATGGTCAGCCCTTCCCCTGGGACCGCATGAGACTTCCCACGACCGTCACTCCACTCCACTATGACCTGGCCATACACCCCAATCTGACCACCCTGGACTTCACTGGCGTTGTTCGCATTGAGCTTGATGTGCATGAAGACACCAACACTGTCATTCTCCATGCCAAGCAAATGCAGATATCCGATGTGTTCCTCTTGGCACCTGAAGGCATTAAGCGCCTTAAGGTGTTGGAGTATCCTCGCTTCCATCAGCTAG